TGACGTAGGCGCCACGAACATCTTATCGAACACTAACGACATAGTCTGAGTACGAGGTCCTGTCTATTGAGTAACTAATGTTTATTTGAGACCCAAGGTCTAAAATAATTTAATTCGTACTTTGGAAATCGACCCGAAGATTACCGATCATCATACTTGGTCATACCGATCATCTTGTAAATGACGGAAATGGACTCGCGTTCACAACGTGAGGCCATTTACGAGATGAACAAGACCCTTGCTGCAGAGCGAGAGTGGGTGCAAGAATTTTGAGAACAATTTTTTTACTTTCCATCAAATAAGCTCATGAAAGATTTTGCTATTAGTACCATTTGGAAAGGAAGGGTTTTCGAACTCGGAAATGGTCTATGAAAATGTGCGGGTAGTGGGAGTTGGGTACACTTCAATCGTCTAACCAACGTGCCGGGATTAACTTTTTAAAGAGTTTCAACTTCAAAAACAAACCGAATAGAAAACAAATAAAAAACGCAGCTTTAGTTTTTGTGTTTTCCTGTTCTGTTCAGTTTTTCTTTTATTCCTTTATTTTTGTTATGACTGGGTGTTGTTCATTTCATGGACTTTGCCTTCGATTTACAGATAACATTTTAAAGAACATGGATGAGAAGAAAAGTTCATTGATTACTTTATTGGATATGTCGAAAGCTTTCGAATTCAGCATGAGCGGCCTACTTATGAAACTCCACAAAATCGGCGTCTCTACTACCGCTTAGACCTGGTTTAAGAGTTACTTGACCAAACGTAGTCAATTGATGAGAATCGACGACGCTATTTCTGATCCATTACCTTTAAATTTTTGGCTTCCCCAAGGCTCCATCCTAGGTCCTGTACTGTTCACAATGTTTGTTAACGATTTATTTGTCGATTCCTAAGCACTGTAAATCTTCAGGTTAAGTAGACGACACAAAAGTTTTTTTATCTTTTCCTTCTCGTGATATTACTGACGGAAGCAATGCGTTAAATGAAGACCTTTTGAAAATATCCCGCTGGTAATGCAAGAATTCACTATTGATTAACCCTGACAAGACTAAACTCTTGGTTATTGGCGTTCCACAACTCTTGCGTAATTTGCCACGTCTATCTGTTACCATCCTGGGAAAAGAGATTGAACCTGTTTTTGTTGCCAGAGACCAAGGTGTCTATATCGACCAAACTCTCAATTACAATGAACATATATCAAAGGTAGTTTCGAGCTGTGTTCACGAACTTGTTCAAATAAATAGGATTTAAACACTTATTGGATCGGAAAACTCTACTTCAGTTAACGATTATTGCCTTTGTATTTAGTAAACTCTTTTATTGTTCGACTGTTTGGGGAAACATATCCAAGCCAAATATAAAGAAGCTGCAACTGGTTCAGAACTTCGCGGGAAAGATTGTACTTGGCCTGAAAATGATCGATCACATCTGTCAGGGCCTTAAATCACTTAGGTGGCTTAGTAGAGAAGATAAATTGCGATTAAACACAGCCGTCATGGTGCATAAATGCTTACACCATCGGGTGCCCATCTATTTGAAAGACAAATTTGTATATAGGTCACAAGTTCATAATAGACAACTTAGATCTGTTGATAATAATGATATCAACTTGCCACACTGTCGACTATCTACTGGCCAGAGGTAATTTGCCTTTCGGGGAGCAAAAGTTCGGAACTCACTCCCCTTGGACCTAAAGTTAACCCCTTCACTGAGGACTTTTAAAAAGAATGTATGCGAACTGCTTTTAAATGATTTATCATGAAACGTTGTATTTAATAGTTATTATTTAAATTTATCTTTTATTTCATTAAGATCATTAAGATTTTTAAATTATTTCTAATTCAAATTTATATTCAAGTTAGTCCTTTTTTTATTTAAAAATTGCTGCTGAAAACCCCTTTTCAGGGAGCGCAATAAATAAATATGTATCTATGTATGCCGTTATTCAGTTAATAATTTAAATATATCAACAAAGTTGAAATGGTAAATTGGCCACCGTTACGATTTTAAAAGCTGACGTTCCGAACGTAAGCCGAAACTCCGACGAAGGGCTAAAGCTCGAGACGTCAGCTTTTATAATCGTAACGGTGGCTAATTTACCATTTCAACTTTGTTGATATATTCAAATTATTTCGTTACCCCCACCGACGCGGCCCCAAACAGTTTCTTTAGAAACTATCAGCCTTTATTTAATACTCTCGCATAGCCAAACAATCCTTCCTTTAATATCACGAGGCATCTTATTTGCAGGACAAAAAGGAAAAAAATAACTCACGTTTAAAATTACCATTTTATGAAAGAGCCACCACTGTGTAATTGATCGCATTCTAAATGCGTCCGCTCCCGAGAGACTGCTCTTTATAATCGCCATTTAAAAATTGCATTCCAAGTTCTATAGGTGGTTTGCAACCAATCTCTAGAGAGATACAGGTAACAATGGTGAAAGGAACAAATGCTGGTGGACGAACAAAATAGGCTAATGAGATATCCATTGTTTACGTCCACCAACATGGCGGCCATGACGTAACGTGTAAACCACCTATTCCCTCATTCGACTTTACGGTCTTGGTTCTCTCTATGAAGTCGTTTGCTTGTTGCTACTGAATAGAGCCAAAATGAGCTTCGCCAGCGCAAATGAATTTTTGGAGGTCAAGGAGACTTTAAGCATGTTACAAGGGAACCTGGATCATTTTTTTTTGGTGTTAATGGGATGCCTCATCTTTTGTAAGTTCATGAAACCTGCCCTACGTAATAATGGAAATGTTTACATGGGCCTTGGTCAGTCATTGTGATTTACTGCATGTGATTTTCTTTCATTCCATATTTGTGATAGGCATTTTGAAATCAGCTGACATTTCACACAGCTATTTTCAACCTTTGCTCAAAATCACCAGTTGCAATTATATCAGGTTAAACCTTTTAACGAACTGGCGCAGAAATCGTTCATTCAGTTGACAAAAACATCGCAACATAGAAGAGAACTATCTTAAAGGATTTCGTCGTCAGTTCTTAGGTGATTATTGTATGTTTTCTTTGGAAACAGCTTTCAAACGTTCAACCGTCTTGGTATGAAAAATGCCAATTTGCGTTGCTAACAACAAGAAAGGAGCTTGAATTAAAACAAGGGGCGTTTTAAGCAATTTCAACTTCAAAGCTGTAAACAGCTTCAAATAACCTGCGCCATTTCTGCGACTGTTCCTGACTTTAATTTTTTTTCTTTCATACAAGCAATGCGTTTAAACGAACTTGTTGGGCATTATTTTTTGGGATTAACTACGGAACACAGGGCCACCAGGGTCAGTCTGGCTGGTATGCTTTAACAAATCTGAGAATAACAAACCTAAGAATAACAAAAGAAGGTATAACAATGAATTGAATCTGTGGCCCTTTATTGTGTTCTTACTACTTATTGGTATAAAACATACAGGTGATTGAATTCATGTCAACATTTTTCAGTTATGCAAACAGGATTTGCTTTCCTCGAAGCCGGATCAGTGAGATCGAAGAACACAACGAATATCCTAATAAAGAATTTCTTGGACGTGTGTAAGTATTTCAAAAAGCAAATTAAAAGGATGAAAGGAGAGATTAATAAGTTTTTTAATAAGATTTTGAGCCTTTCTGTCCAATTAGCAATTGTGAACCATTTAACTGTTTTCGAAATCGTAAATGACCAGTGCACAGTTTTGGGGGCAGAAAGTGCTTAGCTTTCTCTCTATTGTTATTATCCTCACCATGGTTACAAATGGGAAACGTAAGATCCCTCGATGAAGTCAAGGTTCTCAGGTGGGCCAAGATACATTAAGTTGTAGAGTTTCCTGTGTCTTCCCATAGACCGAAAATGTAGCAAAAAGAAAGCAGCTAATTCTGTTGCTGACAAAAATCTGAAAAACACATAGTTTTAATTTATCCTGTTTTATCCTGCAAATGCATGTAAAATTAAGCAGTAATTTTTTTTCAATTCGGTTTTAATCAAAACCGACTTACACCATTTAACTCTGGTGTTTTCTCATACAGTTATCGGTGCAGTGGCTTACTGGTTGTTCGGTTACGCCTTTGCATTTGGTGCGGAAAGCAATGTCTTTATTGGACACAAGTATTTCGCACTGGCCGATTTACCAGCTGAAAAATACTCTCATTGGTTTTTCCATTTCGTTTTCGCGGCCACAGCAGCAACGATTGTCAGTGGTGCCATGGCGGAGAGGACGGAGTTCAAGGCATATCTCGTCTATTCCGTGTTTTTGACTGGTAAATAAAACGTCGCATAATAGTCAACTNATGCAGACTTTCGTGTTCTCGATTTGACGTCTCATAACCCGCTAGAGCCATTCCTCTTTGAACTCGGTCGTGGGGCAAGATGGCGGCCGATTTTCCGTATTTTGAATGGGCACAGAAAATTAAAGATTTGAGCAAATTAAAAATTTTTTTCGCACAGAAATACTCCAAAAAATAAGCTTATTTCGTTAAGCGAAAAAAAAATTTTGGGTTTAGGTCCACTTTAAAACTGAGAAGTACAAATAGGAAGACTAAAGAAACAAGATTATATGAAAAAGATATGTCACGAGGCTCGTTAAATACACACGGCTATTTTGCTTGCTTTGCATGCAAACGATGCAGGCAAAAGAAGGCCTAGTGCAATGCAAAGTAATCAAGTAGGGCGCCCAACATTTTCTTCCTTCGGATGTTAATGCTTCGCCATAAACCTTAGGGCCTGATTCAAAACGTTTTTCGGAAATGGTTTTGGTTTTTGTAATGATTAGAGACTATCCCATCTGGACATCGTACATGTTATTCCATACCTAGCTTGAGTAATGGTTTCTAAAAAGTAGATAGAATAAAATTAATAGGAAAAAATTTTCTCTTGTAGGCTTTGTGTACCCCGTAGTCACTCACTGGGCTTGGGATGGAAATGGTTGGCTGGCCACTGGTTTGAAATACACTAAAGACAATGTAACTATGTCTGTAACATACCAGGTAAAACCATCAAGTTGGTGTATTTCTTTTCCAACTTTAACTGAGAACCAAACAATGAGAAAAAACCTCGAAGTAAAAATAACAATGATGAACAAATAAAAATTAGCAGACGAGCATCAGAAAACCTCAACCTGATCAACCGAGTCGACAGCATGGTTGTAAACAACTGCAAAGATACCATTAGAGAGAAGTATCCTCAGCTTTTCACTGGTCTAGGAAAGATGAAAGCGGAGTACACCATCACACTACAACAAGATGCAAAGCCTTATGCAATCACTGTACCCAGAAAGTCCCTCTATCCCTTGCAAAAGAAACCAAAGAAGAGATATAACGAATTATACAACAGGGCGTGATATCACCTATTGACGAGCCCACAGAATGGTGTGCACCATTGGTAGTTACCCCAAGAGCCAATGGAAGTCAGAATCTGTGTAGATCTATCAGTATTAAACAATCTCGTTCAACGTGAAAACCATCCTCTCTCGTCGGTGGACCACACACTGGGAAAGCTGGCTGGATCGAATCATTTCTCCAAGTTAGACGCCAACTCAGGCTTCTGGTAAATTAAGTAGGCCGAGGAATCAAGACGACTCGTCACGTTTATCACACCCTGGGGATGGTATTCTTTCAACGAACTCCCATATGGTATCAGCTCAGGGTCAGAAAGTTCCAGAAGACCACGAGCCAAATTATAGAAGGGCTAGAAGGAGTCTAGTGCAATATTGATGATGTATTAGTGCACGCACCAACTCAGAGTCAACACGACGCCACGTTGAACAAAGTTCTACAAAGACTTTCCGCCGCAGATGTAACCCTCAATGCAGCAAAATGTAAATTCAACACGACGACAATCGAGGTCTTGGGTCATATCATTAATCCGAAATGAATACGACCACATCCTGACAAAGTATTTGCTGTAGTAGACATGCCGCCACCGAAGAACGTTCACGAAGTAAGGACATTTCTCGGTATGGTAAATCACCTGGGAAAATTTGCCGAACACCTAGCCAACAAAACTAAGCCAATTCGTGACTTAGCAAAGACAGGAAAAGAATGGTACTGGGGACCAGCCCAGCAGAGAGCATTTGAGGAGGTAAAGAAAACTCTCGCTCACGCACCAATCCTCAGTCTCTATGATCCCAATAAAGAAACCAAGATATCTGCTGACGCCTCATCCTATGAATTGGGTGCAGTATTACTTCAACTGCATGATGGCTCCGGGAAACCAGTTACGTTCATATCGAGGGCCTTGACGCCGACAGAAACCAGATACGCCCAAATAGAAAAGGAGGCTCTAGCATTGGTTTGGGCATGCGAGCGTTGCAGGGATTACGTCACCGGGAAGTCAATGAGTGCTGAGACTGACCACAAGCCTCTTGTTCCGCTACTTACCAAGCACAGTCTTGCAGACACTCCAATAAGAATCCAAAAGGTTATGGATGCTCCTAATGAGATTCCGCATCAAAGAGTTAGTACATGTACCTGGAAAAAAACTCTATGTAGCTGACACATTGTCCAGATTACAACCCCCAACGCAAACCAACGAAGCAACTATACCAGAAGATGAGATGAACATCTACATAACAAGTGTCCTTCAAGGAATACCAATCTCGGATCAAAAGCTTCAACAAGTCAAGGACGAACAGGATGAAGATGAAGTTTGTCGTAAGATTTTAATCTTACGACAAATGTCTTAAAAGACATTTTGTCAGGAAGGATGGCCCGACAAATATCAACTCAATGATGCTATCAAGTCATAATGGACGGAACGAGAAGAGATAACCGTAGTACAAGGTATACTCATGAAGGTATACTCATGAATAATACAAGGTATACTCATGAAGTCCAATCGCATTGTCATTCCATTATCACTGAAGCTAGAGGTTCTACACCGAAATCATGAAGGACACCAGGGGATAGTGAAGTGCACAGCACGTGCCAGAGAATCCGTTTGGTGGCCAGATTCGAGCCGTGAGATCCATGACTTAGTCACCAACTGGAAAAATTGTGCAAAAGAAACTCCGCAACCAAGAGAACCACTCATCACGACACCAATACCAGATCGACCCTAGAAGATGGTCGCCACTGACTTATTCGAACTGGAAGGTAGAGACTATTTACTGGTCGTAGAATACCTCTCTAGATTCGTCGAAGTTGGAATGATGAAGAAATCTAAGACCTCGTTTGAAATCATAAGAGTGCCTAAAGCCCTGTTTGCACAATTTAATTCAGCAGAATTCACACAGTTCACTAAAGAGTGGAGAATAAAACATTCAAAGTCGAGCCCAAGGTTTCCTCAAGCAAATGGAGAGGCTGAACGAGCCGTTAAAACAGTGAAGTCGATACTGAAGAAAGAAAAGTATCCAACAAAGGCACTACTCGCCTACAGGTCAACGCCGCTACCTTGCGGATACTCACCAGATAAATTACTCATGGGAAGGAAGCTAAGAACAAGCATCCCCTTTTCTCCACAGCAATTGAAACCAAGATGGCCTGACCTGGAAGATTTCTGTAATAGGGAATCACAGCGAAAGCGAAAGCAGCGAAGCTTGACTTCGACAGACGACATAGAACAAGACTCACGACACCATTGTTGCCAGATGACACTGGCTACATCAAACACATGGACACCACTGAAATAATCACAAGTACAGCAGGAACTCCTCGATCCTACCAAATGCAGACACCGAGAGGAATTCTTAGAAGGAACCGCGTACAGCTGTCACCTATACCTAATGAAGAGATTAAAACCGAAACCACAGTGCAAGAAAATCCACCTTCACCATGTCTCAACACTAGACATAAAAGACAGATTAAACCAACCTGGAAAGTTAAAGAAATTTTGGTCTTTGAACATTAAACATTACACTGACGTTATTGACACTTCAAAAAAACTATCGTTCCATCTTGTAGTGTCGTTAAAATCCTCATATCATACTTATCAATTGGGATGTTGTGTGATCCGTTTCGGTGTCACATTAACAACTCATTAAATATGCGCATATTGGGAATTAATTAAAAGAACACATGGAGGACACAAACACGTGTATTGTATGTTGTTAATCTGAGCTCGTTCTAAACTACTTCTAGGTGAAACAGGAGAACACTACACTCATTTCATCCTTTTTATTTTTCTTATACAATCTTATAGTGACTGTTGTTATTGTTAATGTTGCAGTTACACTTTCGTTTTCTTTCAAAGGATTTCGCTGGTAGTGGGGTTGTTCATGTTGTTGGTGGTGCTGTCGCATTGATTGGAGCTAGTCTTGTGGGGCCAAGAATAGGAAGATTCGTTCATGGTGTCCCAGTTGTTATCTCAGGCCATACTGTACCGGTAAAGTAACTTAATTCGTTATTTAGGATATCTAATGTCTAAGTATATTTTATTTGCACGAGATGAGGAATTCTTGCTGCTCATATAACTAAGCTGATAGCGCTTGAACTAAACTTTCCTGCTGTTTTATTTCCTTTCATTGTTTGTTCAACACATCAGGGATACCTTGTGACTGGAGACCGTCCATTAAAGTCTCATCCCTCGGAATAGCATCTAAAAGGTGAAGTGCGCAAGATAAAGCCTCTACGACTGGGAAGCGAGGAAACCTCTAATTTTGTCAGCGTAGTACCATTAATGCCCTTTGTTTATCAGCATTTTTGAGCCATGAGTGAATTGATCGTTTTATTCTTGGCTTATTCAGAAAGCAGCTTTGGGAGGATTCATCGTGTTCTTTGGTTTTCTGGCATTCAATGGCGGCTCTCAGGCAGCCATTGCAAATGAGGGCGATGCAAATGCTGTAGCATTGTCCATCGTCAACACGGTCCTTGGAGGTAAGTCTCCTGTAAGTAAACATTTCAATCATAACCCATCATTAAGATAGTTTTGGTGAGTGTCGGAAGTAATCCGCCAGGAGTGAGCTTGTTTTACTTTCATACATTCTACAATTTTTTCAAATACATGAAATAAATTAGAAAATAAGAAAAAAAAATGCGCTACCCACCCAGCCATTCAGCCGATACGAAAGCGAAATCAACTATTGAGGCTCTAATCAGCGGCATTTCGTGCCTGCTGGCAGTATACAGCATACTTTTAACATAAGCTTCAGACAGCGTGGAAAGGACGTTTGTAACGTTTATCGCAAAAAGTTCGTACATCTGACGACGAGTGCGAATGTGCACTACCACTCGTATTATCAACAACAGTTGCTGTGCAAGCGGCAAGTCACGCATTGTAATAGGTGGGCATAGTAAATTAATCCAGGTGATACGATTTTTTTTTCAGGAGCTTCAGGTGCGCTAACTGCCATGATCATCAAACGTCTGGGCTTTGTAGACAAGTATTGGAGCCTGCTGTTCACCATCAATGGTGGACTTACAGGGATGGTAAGTTGAAAGTGTGTCAGAGTTGTTACAGACATAAGGCGGCGATGGAAGAAATTGGGCGAGTTCAACTGTCCACAGGCAAACATAAAAACCATCCTTTATCGCTCTGATTCCTCCACCTCAGCTAACTAACTCGCAAGCTTCAGTTTCTGAAGCCACCTTCACCGCTGTTAATGTGTTCCAACATGCAGCGCGTTCTCACCCCCACCAGAGACACGAGGGGAGACGGGATAAAACAATGGCTGCGATGGTGACAACAGCTCTTGTCCTGAAGAAAAAAAAACAAGATATGCCTTTAAAATCTTTATACTTGACCTAGACTGGCTTTTTTTTTTTTCAGGTTGCCATGTGCGCAGGTTGTAATGTCGTCCATCCCTATGTTGCTGCATTTATTGGTATCATCGCTGGGATGGCTTACGTGGCTTGGAGTACTGTGATGCTTCGTGTGAAGGTTGATGACCCCCTGGATGCTGTAGCTGGTAAGTAACACCGCAGAACCAAACCTAATTTAACATTAACATTACTAAAACACTTTGAACTCAGCCTAATTATTGTGGAGTGGAAGAAAAAGGGAGGTGAGCAGCACACTAATTCACCACTGAAAGAATATACTTAACATCTTGTATTTAACGTCTGTTAAGTGGTCATTTCTGCAATGTAACGAGGGGTGCGACTCCATCGATTAATAAACTGCAATCCCAGGCATATGTTTACCCTAGAAAGAGGACTTAGAGCGGCTTTCAAGAACTATAATTCTAGTTACGAGCAGTTATTCGAGAGGGCAGATTTGCCCACTCTACTAAATAGGCGCTTACAGGAACTTTGCCTCCTCATGTATAAAGTAAAGAACAAACTGTGTCCTACATATATAAGTAACATCTTCAAAGTACGCAATAGTAAATTACAAATTGAGGCAAGCCGATTTCTTTAAACCCAGATATGAAACTGTCACTTATGGCAAACACTCTATCAGATTTCTAGGGCCCAGGTTATGGACAAAATTACCCAAGAGTATAAGGGAGGTCGAGACCTTCAAGTAATTCAAAGGCAAGATACGCCAACTCAGTATAAGTGAGCTCTTGGATGATGGCTGCACACGCTGTAGCCTCTGCTCGTCTTGAATTTTATATATTTTTTATCACAAATCCCGTAATTAGTTAACCATAGATTTTCTCTAAGTTATAATATATATACCACTGTAAATAGCTCCTAGTCTTTTTCTTTTTTAGTGTCTCCAAATTAGTAACGGATTTTTCCCTCGCTAGACGGCTCTTGACGCTTTTAATAGTTTTACTACTACTACTACTACTACATCCAAATTTCAGTGCTCACATTTTAAAACGTTGTTTTTGTGCTTTTCCTGTCCCTTTTACAGTTCATCTCGGAGGTGGTCTTTGGGGCGTACTGTCTGTTCCCATCTTCAACAAGGAATCTGGAATATTTTACGCCGGAGACGATCATTCATTTCGTTTGTTTGGCTGGAACCTTCTGGGAGTACTTGTCATATGGGCTTGGTCCTCAATACTGGCTTTTATTTTATTTATCATTTTGCGTCTAACCAAACAGCTTCGAGTCAGTGAAGAAATCGAGTTGAAAGGTGAGAAGCTTGAGTACAAATTTCTAAATAATGTTTGATAATTTTAATCAAGCGGACTTCACAAACCTTTCTTGAATTAGGTCTTGACATTCCAAAACACGGTGAGCCCGCATATCCATTGGAAAGCTACGGAGACGGCTGGAACGAATCTCCATCAGCGAAGAGGCAAACCTTTCCGTTTACTCAGCACCCCCCTATTCTGCAGAGCCATGTTTCACTCCGAAATGGCCAACCTCCAAATGGCTCAAAGCGCAATGGTCAAGTTTCCACTCCAGTCCAGAATGACCAGATTTCTAATATTGAAGAAAACGTCATCCGCAATCCAGCTGTTGATGTCATCAAACCAAGTCATATGGTAGATACAGCATTTTAATGACCACTTAGTAAATATGAACGTAGAACACAAATCGAGTTCTGAGCATCATTTTGGAGAAAACCCGAATTAGTAAGCACAGTGTTATACTTTTTAATTTGCAAGCTGAGGGCATATATTGGCAAAAGAAGGTAGATCTCTCAGGATCGTTTTCAGCAAATACGACTTTGTTGCGCGTTGAGAGTTTTCGCTTTTATATTTAATCTTTTTCAAGTATGCAGCATTCGGAAATATCAAAAGATCAGAGATGTTCCAAGCATGGTCTAGGCAGAACCGAGTACTTGACTGAGGGAGGCGTCTTTTTTTCCTATTTTACCTTTTCAAGCTAGAGGCAAATCAGTAATTAGCAAGGATAGATCAAGATATCTACATCGTTTTACGAAAATCCGTAGGAATTGCTGCGCATAGGCAGAATTTTCCATGTCATATTTATTTTAATTTATTTTTTTTCAATTAAAAGATTAAGGAATACAAAGATCTAGATAAAAACTTTGTTCGAGGCAAATCTGGGTTTAATTAATAAGCACGGGGAGAGTTTTCGTTTCCATGTATATATTATTAATTTGGAGATCATTTGGGAAAATTAGATCGAGGAATCATCATCTTTTTGGGAAATTCTGAGTTAGTTGCCAGGAAAGGAGGGGGTTGCCCTCTTACGCACACTCTTTCTTAATTTGAACGATCATCAATTTCAGCGAAGATTTCCCTTTCAAACGAGATAAACTGACTGCAGCAGCCCCAGGAAGTATAACATGGTTAAACTTGTATAGATGTAAAGGAGTGAGAAAAAAATAAAGGTTAAAAACTGAGTAAAATGGAAGTTGGAATGAAATGTTTATTCACGGATTCATTCAGGCATTCCTTTATTATATATATAGTAACTCGTTAATTCATTCGCACAATTCCATGACATATGAATTTATCAATGTAAACTAAATTCTCTACGATACTAGAGTTTGAAACACTCAACGGGATTGTCCTCCTCCTCATATTATTATTACTATTATTTCATTAATAATAATGGTAATGGAGAGTCAAAAAGTACCTACCAGTTAAAAATTTCGTACAGTTGCCTTTGTTCCACGAGGAAATAATTCAAATAGAGGTCTTATACAATAACGCGCGCGAGTGACGCGAACTGCCACTTTAATAGACAGGACGCGTAAACTGTCTTGAGTATAACTATTGTTGTTATTGTTATCACCCACTGTTGGGGTTTCTGGGAGCGACAGAGGGGTGCTTTTTTCGATATAAGGGTGTGTCATCCCAATGCAGACTCATACAGAGGTCTTAGCCCCAAGCAGATTTGCAGTATTCATGAAAATTAAAAGAAGCGAGAATACAACTTCCGTGTAACAGAAGTAGAGCAAGGCACTTCCCCCCCACTGGTATTTACAACGACGGGGGGMATGGCTGACGAATGCCTGTGGTACCACTCAAGATTAGCCGAGCTATTATCTGCAAAAAAGCAAGACAGCTACGCGACAACAATTTTATGGGTCAGAGCGAAAGTGTCCATTGCAATTTTGCGGAGCGCGCTCCTTTGTCTAAGGAGATCTGGAACCCCGAGAAGGAGGAACTTAGACATTAGAGACAGGAATCTGGAAAAAGAGAAGGGTAGAGCAAGACATCCATAAACTCGTCAGTCATAGATTATTTTTATTATTTTTATTGTAAATTTTTCTTATTATTCTTTTGCGTAGAACTTTTGAAGACTTTGCATTTCCTTTGTGAAGAGACTTAAAGTAAGATATAGACTACCTAAACAACACATTATAATTCTATTATTCATAGCAATATAATTATGTAGTTCAGGTTAATGATATTTTTCCTTAAAAGGAGAATTGTAACTTGCAAGATTTTTTAAATTTTTCATACACTTTCATGTTAGATTCCGGATTGTATGAAGTTACCCAATAAAGGCTAGTTCTCATCTCATTATTGTCACTATGAATATTATTATTAGCAGCTTTGTAGTCGATATCATATTATACCTAATATATGTGCGATGTTTTAGACTTTTTAAAGCAAGTTTTTTTGTCACATTTTTTGGAAGCTAAGCCATTATCTTGTTTTCTTCTTATATTTTTGATTATTAAAATTATGAATATTATCATTTTTATTATTATTATTATTATTATTATTATTATTATCATCATCTGTGTGTGACCGTAGATATTTGTCCGTATCAAGCGCTTCCAGCCTTGATGGCCTCCAACAGAACATAGTGAATAAAAACATACTGCTCCTGTACTTGCACCATGATATTTCTGTCCTGTCGCAGTGACATAACATATCCAAATACATCAACTGATTTCTCGGCAGCGATACGCTGTAACATGGCGTCTATTGCAATAAAAGTACCACTCCTGCCGACCCCTGCACTGCAATGAACAACCTGAGGAAACAGTCAACAAACATTGTAAAAGGCTACATCATAACTTGTTTAATATTATAGTTGTATCTCTATCTTTAAAACTCCTTGTTCCCTTTTTTGTTCTTTCTTACCTGTTTGGAGTTTCTCTACCCTAGAAAGGTATTACTTACTGTTTTCCTTCTTAGTAAGACCAACGATCCGAGGAACAATTACTTACTGTATTACTTACTGTTTTCCTTCTTAGTAAGACCAACGATCCGAGGAACAACAACAGCAAAAAATCAACTTATGTGAAGCATCTTCTTGAGCAATGACCCGAGCCACTTTCTTCCCATTTAATCAATTATTTCTTCCCCATGTGACACGAGACTTCGCCAGCAGGTCCTCTTTATTAGCGCTGCAGACACGCGTTGCTCCCCTCTCGGGAAGATTGGAGACGAGTCGGGGAGAGGTTTGCCGAGGGTCTGGCACTAATAATGAGTGCTAGACTGACCCTTGCTGACCTCTGACCGGTTCGCACTGCTCAAAGCCTCACATTTCACCGAAGGCAAAGGAAACGCTCGAGCCGAAGCGCAAATAAGAAGGGCCTGTTCGCAGGCTAGAAAGGAACCTGGTCCAGTCTTAAATCAAATAATCACTCAGTAAACAGGTTCAAATAACTTGCGCTATTGTTTGTTAAGTCTGCGACATTCACCTTAAGGTGATTCCTCAGTATTGCACTTGGCATCCTATACTGCGCATAAAAATCACGCCATCGGGCGAATGAGCGCGCGCATTCCGAGAACATGGTATTGTTTTTCACTCCATGGACAAAGTAAAAGGTACGATGGTCCTTGGCTCTTGAACCAACACGGTGTCCAATACTTTTTTATTGCATAGTTTTCGTGTACAAGTGATCCCCTTTAAATTGGAGAAGTTTTAAAAAAATCATCGAGGGTAAAAAAAGATATAGCTAAAAGCGTACGCGAAGACCGTTACTCAAGGATACAAATTATGACCTTGAAAGCATCGACTCAAAGAACGTTATAAATCGATGTCGTTTAAAATTGCGTGATTTTCCATAAAATATATATCAAATTATTCCCTACGTTCGAGACTTCCTACCTATCAAAATTTTTTCAAGAGTTACCGTAAAAACCTTTGCTTGCAGCTACTGCAAAGTGTACCATGAGCCGATGAAATATCGCGCGTGATTAGTACCAGTACTGGCATACATGGGGGTAAGTTTGGCCTATCATGTCTCTTGAACAAGTAAGGTGACCTATCTTTTTATTGTACTTTTCGAAACAGACATTGGTAGGGAACATTTAAGGAAAGTTTAAAAAAAATATTCCATAATTTTTTTTTTTCTGAAGAATCACCCTTTAAGTATCCTATATTTCTAAACAACAAAATTTGTCTACTCCAAGTAGGTCCACATAGAGCCCGAAGCCAAGTTCTTTCAAGATAAATATATGGCTTTTCGATTGGGTTGGCCACTACCCAAACAATCCTAGAGGCTGACCAGCGCCATGGAAATTATTACCGAGGAACTCAAAGTAAAAACAAGTACTCTGCACAAATCGCAGATAAAAGTGAGTGACGAATCGCCATAACTTTGTTCTTGATCAGTTATCAGGGTGGAAGTAGCTAGAAAAACTACGGAATGAAAGTGAAGGGAAACCATTGCAGCCCTTGGATTCTTTTCGACATTCGAAAAAATATATATCTACGAGGAAACTTTGCCCAGAAATTACTCGGATGGCATCCACACGTTTACACGAAAAAAACAACAACAAATCATCTGGGAAACCACTGAATCGAAACAAGGTCCACTTTACCTCGTGTAAAATAAACTATGATTTCTCCTTTTTAGTGTGATTAAAAGTAATTGATTCAAGGGCATAATCATTATTTTTAACTCTTGAGTCTCCATTTCTGTAAAGAATTAACCAAAGGTAAACATTGCCAGTTACTACGAAATGGAGAAGTAGATATATACAAGCAGTTTTATAGTACACCTAGGAACACTCTACATACCATTGGACCTGCATCAGGTGGATTTGCTTCCGAAACCTTTCTCACAAACTTGAGAAGTGAAGTAGGACGCGTGGGGACACCATGGTCAGGCCAGGTTGTGTATTGATAATGATTCACCTTTCTTTCGACTCCGCTATTGGCCTTCTTGAGACTCAATGTGCGGATGGTAAAATCACTGAGCTGTACAGTTTGCGTCAGTCTTACTTGAATGTCATCATATACCTTTGCACCCTCTAACGGCCAGTACTGGTGACACTTAATACGACCACCCTCTTTTAATTTTGTCACCTGGAAGGGGACAGATGAGGTTAATAATAATAATAATAATAATATTAATAATGACAATCCTTATACAGGGGGCTCATATCACTGGGGAGTGGTATTCTGTGAGGCCCTGTAAAATAAAAATAAATAGAATAAAAATTATAGAAATAGAAAACAAATTACAAACATAAAAACTAAGTAATATACAGGGTGTGAAAACATGATAGAATCAGATCTCAACGCTAACTTAACTAAATACATGATTTTTCACTCTAAGCTTAAAAATGAGAAAGGAGTCGATTACTTTATTAGAAGTGTCTAAGAGATTCCATTCTCGTGCGCACATATATATGTCTCTGTTTTCCATAGTTCGTTTTTACACGAGGGAGGCGGATATCGTTCTTTCTTCTTGTATTATATCTATGGAAGTAAGAATTTCTTAAAATATTAAAACTATAAACCACAAGGCCGTGAATGTACTTAAAAGTGGCAATGTATCTGTGTACAAGACGCCGTTGGAGCAGTGTCGGCCAGTTTAGAGAATTTAGAGCGCCAGTGGATGAGGCGTGATTCGGCAAATCAAGAATAACTTTTGCAGCTTTATTTTGTAGTATTTGCAAATCTTCCATGATAGTGGCGTCATTCTTGTCTCCCCAAATGATGTCGGCATAGTCAAAAAGTGGACTTATTAAGGAACTGTACGATGTAATTCGCGTTTCTAATGGTAACAGATGTTTGACTCGTTTTAGTAAACCGATTCTTTGTTTTATTTTGGTGATTAATGATTCGATGTGCTCGTGCCATGTCATGTTCTTGTGGATGACTACACCGAGATATTTGATTGAATCTGTATTTTCAAGTTTTTTGTTATCATTTCAAGCTTGATACCTTGGCAGGTTTGCAATCTGCGATGGCTACCAAACAATAAAAAATTCGATTTTTTAGTGTTCAATGTCAGATAGTTACTGTCAAACTATTGAGCTAAATTCGCAAGGTCGGCATTTAGATGGTATTGACTACCTTGGCAGCGTTTTTCACTCGAGTATATCACAGTGTCGTCTGCATACATAATTACTCGACAGTGTTCTAAGCAGTTCGGAAGATCGTTAATGTAGATAGGGAATAGTAGAGGGCCGAGGATGGTACCTTGAGGTACTCCAACATGAACTTTACAAGAAGGGGAGTGGTAGCCTTCAACAGATGTTACTTGGTACCGATTATTGAGGTATGAGACAAACCACTCCACGACTTGAGAACCAGCATCAATAGCCTTGAGTTTTTTACAAGAAGAATATGGTCTACGGTATCCGGGACGCCTTGGAGAGGTCTAGGAAAACTGCTCCCGTAAAACAGCCGTTATCAAGACTCTGACGTATATTGTCAGTGAAATGGGCAAGGGCAGTTACAGTTGAAAGCTTGGGACGGAAACCAAACTGATTTAGAGCGAGTAGTTTGGAGTTTGATACAAAAGTGTAAAGTTGCTGGTGCACGGCTCGTTCAAGAATCTTGGTGATGGTTGGGA